CGGCCCCGCGCTCGTGCCGGTTCCCGCCAGGACCGGCCCGGCCCCTTCCCAGCTGCGGGAACAACCGGGCGCTCCCGCAGCTCCCTGGAAATCCATCAGAACCGCGGTCAGCACTGACCCCGGGGAGGGGTTGGACAGCGCTCTGCTGGATCGAGCAGGCGGAGGTCACAGAAGGACACTGGTCACGGACGGAATGTCCCGGGCTGCTGAATTTTTCTCACAGAACCTGGGCACTGGGCAGCCCTGTGAACGAGGCTATGCTTTATTCAGCTTTGCTCTTTATTGACTGCCTACAGCTTACAAACACACAGCTTTGTCACTATTCCAACCAACCAAATACACTGGTATTAAACAGCAGCAACTCGAATAAATCAAACAAAATAGGCAAAATGGGGGGAGTAATCACTGCTTTATATACATTTATTAATCAGACATCAGCTCCCTCCAGCAGCCTGGAGCCACATCCAGCACAGCCTCCCCATCAGAGCTGCTCTGGAACCACCTGTGCCCATCATACAGCCTCAGCTCACTCCCTGCTCACAAGTAGGGCTCATCCTTGGAAATTTCCCACTTCCTAAGCGGTGGTCCTGGTGTCACTGGTTTCTTTGCTGTTGTTGTCACTGCAGCACCTGAACTGGGGTAGAGAAAGGAGGAGCAAGAAGAGGCTTTAGCAACACTCTGGAAACCACACTTGAATTTAATCAAAAGTCTAGGCTGCAAGTGTTTTTTAATCAGAGTCCCAGAATGTTTTGGGTTTGGTGGAATTTTAAAGCCCACCTTGTTCTAGCGCCTAACATGGGCAGAGCATCCCAAGTGGCTCCAAGCCCTTTCCAACCTTGAACACTTCCAGGGATGGAGCAACCACAGCTGCTCTGGGCAATCTGTACCAGGGCCCCACCACCCTCCCAGCCAAGAACTTCTTCCCAATATCCCATCCAGCCCTGCCCTCCGGCACTGGAAGCCATTCCCTGTGTCCTGTCCCTCCAGGCCTTGTCCCCAGTCCCTCTCCAGCTCTCCTGGAGCCCCTTTAGGCCCTGGAGGGGGCTCTGAGCTCTCCCTGGTGCCTTCTCTTTTCCAGATGAACACCTCCAGCTCTTCCGGCCTGGCTCCAGCCCTCGGAGCATCTCTGTGGTTTCCTTTGGACTCATTGCAACAGGTCCTTTCTTGGAGGCCCCAGAGCTGGACACAGATGCACCAAGTGAGATCTCACCAAAGCAGAGTAAGTGAACTTCATCCCACCTCACTTATTTGCAAGGAAATATACATCCAAATAATCAATTCCATATTCTTCTGCCAATCTGGGTAACTCCCCACTGCCGCTTGGGCGCGTTCTGTGTTCCTGCTACAAATCGGGACCACGGCTGACCGCACTCGGCGGCGGCAGCGGCGCAGCACCGCCTGCATCAGACCTACCCGCCGGCTTGTGCCCCCGCCGGCAGTGTTCTCTGCGCCGCCGCCACCACCAGGGGCGGCAGCGACTCTCGGCGCCCGTCCCGGTTGCAGTAATAGTTATCGGCGAATTTGTGGCTGGGGCCCACCGGGAGCCGCGGCGGCGGCTGGGTCCTAGGCAGAGAACGACGCAAGTGTCAGCGGCGGGGCCGGGGTGGGGGCGACTCAGTGCTCAGCCCGGCCGGCCCGGCCCCGGCACCTCTTAGCGATCTCCTCGTAGCGCAGCTGCAGCTTCGCCTGGAGATCCCGCT